CACACACAACCACATACATACACACACACACACACACACACACACACACACACACACACACACACACAACCACATACACATACACACACACCATGCAGTCCCATGCAGGCTAGAGAGCCAGAACTAGACAATTTACAAACAAAATAATTATATGACACTCGCAATGGCATAGTACTTCCCAGAGCTTTGTCAACTATGTTTACCAAATCTCCTATCTTCTCTGCATACTCGTATTGGCTCAAGCTGCCCATGGAAATGAAGACAATATCCAATATTAGACAGTTCATAGACCATGTTAAATGTCATGCCACGTTGTAGGCTCGCTCGCCTCTTTTGCTAGCTTATCTCGTCGCTCTCCACCCTGGTCAACATAGTGATACATTTCACCCCCTGATGCATTATTTTCTTCCGATTATCATCTTCTTTCCTTCATTCTTTCTTCTTCTTTTTTCTTCTCTTGCCATGGCTGGCTAACGCCCCCTCCTTTGCATTGGCTTCTGCCATTGGACGGTGAAATAATAATAAAATAATAATAATATCGGTGCAGTAGCCATGTCTAGCAGGATAATATTCTCAAGTTTTTATCCGATACTGGAAACACATAAAATCCCAAGACATTATTTACAGAGCATACAGGTTGCAAACCGTTCGACTTTCGTCACTTACCCTGCACAGTAGCCGGCTGTGGACCTTGTGAGTCCAACGGCGGAAAATACTCCATCGTGTAGCTGGGTAGTTGAGCTCCCGTCATCCCTTGGTGGCCTTCTGCTTCTGACGTGTTCCGTGAGGAAGACATTCCGAACTGAGAGTTGGTGACAACTAAGGCAGTGTCAACCAGCCGACCTTTTCTCTGGAACTTGGCTGTACTTTTCGTCCACAATGGTAGCCAAAACAAATGGGTTGACTGGCTTGTCCAGAGAACAGCAACGAGTTCTGGTCCGGGGGATACGGATAGAGTCAACGCAACGACAAGTCCCAATCCACGCTATTACAGGCCCCGGAGAGTGGCTGTTGGTGTTCTGCAACGTATTGAAGAATAGGTGACGCACCGTTGTGAAGCGCACTCGTTGCCTATGACTCGACGACTGGTGCCATGGTGTCGTTCCGCCTTCCGGTCCGAATCGGAAGGTTTTTTTATTGCTCCGCGGAAGCTGCGTATGCAGCTAGTGAGTCCTGGGTCAAACGAATGTTCGGGAATCAGCAGAATTATCGAAGTGGACATTGTGAGCAGCAATAACAAAACTTATGATAAGTACTACAACTATACAGATATAGGGTTCTAAGAGTTAGGATTGAAAGATTCAACACTGGGAAGTGGAGAAATAACACGAAGAAAGAAGTCTAGGTGAAGAGTCAAAACAGCATGAAAAGTAAAGGGTGACAAAAATGTTATAAAATTGCATCAAATCAAGAGATCAAAGAATTTATTTCACACCTTCTCCACCAATACATGTACAATGTACTGATGCTGCCAAACAGCTGTAAAGACAACACATTCTCCTTCACTCTTCAGATCTCAAAGTACTGCTGAAGTTCAGGATGCAGCGTAGATCTACGTCTAAGCATGTAAAGGCTTGTACTATTTGTAGCACGGCAAGATGCAACATACTGTATTTTTGTATTGACTTATTTGAATTCGGAATCTCAACAGTACAATGTACAATTACTTGGGAAGATCCGAATGACATAGATACATAAACATAAAAGTGGAGTAGGTGCTACAGCTGATCATTTTATCGCAGGTTGTGGGACTAAACTAATACCAGTATGCAAGTACACAAGAAATAAAAGCTGAATAAATACGACTGCATGACCACACATAGACCTACCACGTGACAAAACAGAGAATACATCATCAGCCACAACAACTACTTGCACTGCCCGAAAACATTAGAGAGGTTCCGCATAATTAACGTAATTACGTTAGTAAAAAACGTAGTCGATCTACGGAAAGTCTTACGTAAACTGCATGCGCATCTGTGTTCCGCCATACGGAGTTTTCAAATCACGTAGCTGCCCTTGGCAACTCTGAACGCGGCAGTGTACGACCAGATCGACCTGGGAAGAAAGTCATAAATTTGTACCCCAATCCACTTACGGACCAGCTACGTTATCAGAGCCCTATCTACGTACTCTCCGTAGACAACTTTCCGTAAGTGGAGTGCAAACTCGCGAATTCACGGGTTTTCCCCGCCCACTAACGTAATGTTGCTCAACTTTACGTAGTGCGGAACCTCTCTAATATGACACTGGATGCCGCGGCGATGGTCGGTTTCCTGGAGAAGACGCCTTCGTGGTTCACACCTCCGTCGCCTTTGCTCGCGAGTCTTCTTCATTACCATGGTTACGTCCCGTACCTTGGGTTTGTCAGTGAACTACATGTATGAAGAAAACATCTAATGACACTGAGAAAAGTACTTGTAACAGTCATCGCTTCCTTTTAACCTTTATAACTAATTCTTTTGATGTTGCACTCATTACCACAATACTGTTATACTTCCCAATCCATTGCTCCCAAAAATGGCAACTTTGTCCGGTACACCCTATCCTTGGTCATGTACATACAATTATCCCTTCACTGTGCATAGTTCGAAACTCGCCCCCCCCCCCCCCACACACACACAATCGTTGCCTCTTTCCTTTGTCATACCTCAACCATTCTATGCGGTGAACCCCTCGACTCGTGAGCCAGTCAAGTGAGAATTCAAGTCGGTAGGAAAACCGCGAGCTCCCATGTAGGGAGCAACACACACTTCCCCAACTATCGCCGAAGTCGAACAAACCTCTTCTTCACATTGTTGTCCCCAGCGCGGGCTTGCGAATTATATGGTTTGGAGGCAACAACGTTGTGAATGGCCAACGGTCCTCAGCGCTTGTTTAGCACCTCCATGAGCGACACTGACTCACACTGCTATCTGGTGTACACGAGGTGTGTGTTTGTCGCGCTGGAAACGGAGCGTCTCTGTAAGTAGTTTGTATCCCTGGTGATTTGTGTGACTGGAGAGCACTATACAATGTAAGTGGTGCTTTTCAGGCACAATCTTCCTCAGCCTACTCAAGCTCAACTGATGAGGTGTGAATTCCCCGAAACACTGTGTATTGAGCAGGGAGTGGTGCTTGCTTGCAGGTTTGCCCAGTGGACGGTTCGATGGACTTCTCGTGTGCTCTGGATGGCAGTCGTGAGTCAGTCAAGTGAGAATTCAAGCCGGCAGGAAAACCGCGACCTCCAATAACACACACTGCCCCAACTATCGCCGAAGTCGCACCAACCTCTTCTTCACATACTTGTAGTAAGTATGTTAGTTAAAGCAAAGGACCAAAGTGTTACACGTTATTCGTAGTTTTGTGTCCAACACTACCAGTTATGCATGTAAGCAAGATGTTGTGACGTCAGACTGAGGTGCAACAGCAAGCACAATATTGACTGATATAATGCTGACATTCAACGACCTGATGATAAGCTCTATCACGGATAACATGTAACAATTTGGTATTGTCTCTTAAATACATGTATAATCCTTGGCTCTCTATCCGAGTCTCACTTGTACAATTGTAATTATGTGTTTGACTTAATTATTTTCCATCCATAGTTACGTACGTTCACTGACATGACGATCATAACGAGAAAGCGGTTCTGAACACTTTCTCTTCTTTTATATGTACATTTCAGATTCACATTTCGCTCTCGTGTTCGTTACTATTGTTACAAAGCATGGTTACGGCACAATTAGCACTCCTGATTGCGCTATGGAAGTCAAATATTCCTGCATATCTCACTAGGCATGGGCTGTATTGATTACGTATACTTTCAGTGCTTATATTTGACACCAGACTTTTTAGGGATTCAATACATGCTTTGGCTACTCGTGATAAATCTAAAACCGCGTAAAAGTCCTACAACCTAGTACCTCGCTCTTTTTATCGGCTTGTATTTCCTATATTGACCTAGTACGAAGTCAATATTAGATTTACCTGACACGTCATTCTTTTCTTTCTTTTTAGTACAAGGATATGAAAGCGAATGACTCAAAGAGTGAGCATGTCAATGTTTGATCGCGAGCAAAACATTCTGACACTATACTCGTAGATCTACTCCTAAAAACTCACGTAAATGCAGTAGATCTACGTCCATGATCCAGCGTAAACTCTCCACACTCTCGCTAGCTCGAACGCAGTCGTCTTCTTCTCACGTTCGAGGCCTAAACTATCAACCAAAAAATCGGCGGCCCCCTACGCCCCCCCCCCCCCTCCCCCGCCACCACTATCTGGACCCGCCACTGAATCTGTGCACGTGGGATCTATACTACTATATCAGTACATGACGGACAGACTCAGTAGACTCTACTGACCATGCTGACAGTAGTTGTGTAGAGTTGGTTTGTTTGGGTTTGTTCGTATCGGTTTTGTTTCTTATTCGACGAACTGAAACTGTAAAAGACTAGATTGTAGACTCTACGTAGAGCGGCTACAAAGTAGGGCCCTAGGGCTAGGGACGAACGAAAAGAGGTCGAGTGCATGCTGAGTGTGGTTCGCTCGTTGCAAAATGTAGAATATATTTCACCGTGACTCTACCGAGCTAGGAAAGGAAGCATCAAAACGAGGGGAAATGGTCCAGGTGGGGTACGCCATTTACAGAGCAGCTAGCTAGCTGGACAGACGAATTCCCGGCAAGGATTTTGCCACAGGGAGCGATATTCGACGCTTTCGAGAAGGCCATTACCCCAAGCAACAGTCATCTTTGACGAGCTATCGAAGCCATGGTAGAGGCCATTGTACCCTCGTCAGGAGGCGCTCTGGCGGACTGCTCAAGAGCTGTTACTTCGAAGTACAGTACTAGTACTGTTAGAGACGACTTGGTCGCCAACCTCAATCCAGTCACGGTCGGCCGTTGCCGCAGCGGAAGCAGCGACCGCGCCCGCACTGGTCAGAGGAGCACACCCATGGCAGTCACGTCCACGGTCGATCGGTCCACCCCTCCAGCGCCAGAGTAGCCTGTAGGCAGTAGCACACACCGCGGCAATGCCAGCTGATGGCTGGGAGGTGCGGAGACGCCTGTGCGGACGGGGACCTTACCCACCGACCCGGAACCGGTGGGCGAAAGACGCAGGAGTTTCTCGACCAAGGAATGATGAAGATTGTTGACGGGATCCCTGGCCTGGGATGCAAAGAAAAAGCCGCCTGTTCTGCCTCATAATATTGCCGGTAAGACCTTCAATCATAGACGGGTTTACATACATGAAAGTACAGTCAGTCCTGTTCAGTGAAATTCGATCTAGCCAGTCAATGACACGCCTGACGCTTACATTGAGCAGCAGTGTACAGCGTTGGTTGATGTCATCCACATCACTGGACTGTATAACTCCAAACTCTGTGCCCTGTGTGTTGGTGTACTTCATAGCGGTGTATCATCTGCATGTGCATGTGGGATGTGGGCTAACATGATAACTGCATGTGTGTGTACCGCTTATCCACGGCTGCATGGCCAGCGCCCTGGGGCCGCTAGACGTGCGACCGGATTTCCGTTTCCACATCAGTAGATCTTTGCTTGTGAGCATGGGTTATCTGTTATGATCTGTTATGTTGATAGGTGACGTGTAAAGTAGTTGTTTGAAAGTCCACGCACGGGATATAGGCTCCTGCGGATTCTGCCGGCAGAACAATTGGCAGAATTCGGTACTTTTTCTGGCAGCCTGGCCATAGTGCCACAGCCTGGCTATAGTGCCACAGCCTGGCTATAGTGCCACAGCCTGGCTATAGTGCCACAGCCTGGCTATAGTGCCAGAGCCTGGCTATAGTGCCACAGCCTGGCTATAGTGACACAGCCTGGCTATAGTGTTACAGTCTGGCTATAGTGCTACAGCCTGGCTATAGTGCCACAGCCTGGCTATAGTGCTACAGCCTGGGTATAGTGCCACAGCCTGGCTATAGTGCTACAGCCTGGCTATAGTGCCACAGCCTGGCTATAGTGCCACAGCCTGGCTATAGTGACACAGCCTGGCTATAGTGCCACAGCCTGGCTATAGTGCTACAGTGTGAACATCTGGCTAGTGCTACAGCAGGTGCCACAGCCTGGTCACTAGATTGCATGCTCAGTGGCCCATTAACGATAGCAATCCTGTAATAGTGTACCGTATTGATGTTTCTGGGTGCCGTGTTATATCAATTGTGCCTAACTGATATTTGAAGTTGTCAGGCCAACTTGCCTTGGTTAGCTCCCTATTGAATCCACTGGACCTCCACATTTGTACCCCTTTTGCATTTGCCCTGACAACATCGTAACCGAGAACCCGTTTGCTGTTTGCAGGTGGCGTGTTTGGTCAGTTGTGCGTGCTTGAAGTTGCCATACTGTATCTTTTAGATATGGTGAGTCGATCTACTCGTTGTGACCTATCTCGGTTGTTAGAAACCATTTAGCATAGCTACGGGAATAGAGATATTGTGTCCAGTATTATATTGTTGTAACAGGGCAGTCCTCACAGTCTTATCATCTTGCAACAAGTTACCAGGTCCTTTGGTGTTCATGTAAGATTCTGGTAAATATTGCAAGGGAAGCTGCCTGGTGATATTCAGGTGGAAGAGAGTACCATCTGTCTGCAGCCAGGTAGGGTAAAGCATAGAAACCGTACCTTGAAATAGCGAGCATTCGGTTTGCATCCTTGAACACTTTGTTAGCACGCTGTTCACAGCCAAGATGCTGATTAACGAGTATGCCCAGGTAGCTCATGTAGGGGCCAGGGGATACAGAGGTGGTACAAGGATCGGTCAGGTTGGGAGGGATGTCGGCTGTCTTGCAGTGCACAATTAGACGCTGGATCTCATCAGGGTTCAGCAAGAGACCTGGTTCTGTGGCACCTTGTACTGCAACATGACTTTCCGCAAGTCTATTCTGCATGGTGGTAAGGCAGTGGCTTGATGTGTAAATTCTGATGTCGTCAGTATAGACGGTATGTCGGTCCTGCAAGCGCACGCGGGTGTGTGTTCGTGTGTATGTGTAGATGTGATGTTTTTTTACGTGTCGAGCTCCACTAAACATGGTAGCGGGGTCATCACTGTTCAATTCCGTTGGGTTCATCTATGTGTTGCTTCTTTTTGCAGGCCAGTTTCAGTCTTCATTAGTGCAAGACAGCTAGTAGAGGATGATAACCTCTAGTGGAGGATTGCCTGGACCTTGCCTGGTGTTACTACGTACGTCACTTGACTGTGTGTGACCATTAACAGTTCGTACACAGGTTGAAGCGCATTGTAAGCACATCCATTTCCGTCAGCGTACACACAGCACACTGGACAGCGGCAAGTAGATGATGAGAGCGGATAACTGAAGGTAAGGACAGCAGTGTTGTATTTTGTGGTGTTTTTTTGCTGTGTCTTTTAGGGGTGAAGGGGATGTTTAGGGTACCCGGGTACCAGCCCGTTACTCTCAGGGACCATTAGTAAAAGGGTACACGTTTGGATTTCGATGATCCAGTCAGTACGGAACAACACTGCTGGGATCGGGAATTCCAGGCGGGAGTCAAGTATTTACAACTCCACGCTGAATGAAAGATGTTGCGACATTCGATGTGCGACACTGACTCGCGCTGCTGCCTGGTGCTCACGAGGTGTTTGTTGCGCTGGAAGCGGAGTGTCGCTGTAAGTTGGTATCCCTGGTGATGTTTTTGGCTCAGAGAGCACTACATAATGCAGTGCTCTCGGAGCAGAAATTTCATTAGCCTACTCAAGCTCAACTGACGATTGGTGAATTCCCCGAAACACTGTGTATTGAGCAGAGAGCGGTGCTTTCTTGCAGGTTTGCCAAGTGGAGGTTCGACGGGCTTCTCGTGTGCTCTGGATGGCAGTCGGGAGTCAGTCAAGTGTCAAGTCAGTCAGCAGGAAGCGCGAGCTCCGACTTTCGGAGCAGACACTTTCTCCACGCAGGATGGATGTCTGCATTATTATCGCATTTTCGGCACTGTTTTTTGTCAGTGCTGTTGTTATACTGCTTTTTTAAGTGCTTTAGTTGCGATAGTGTTTGTGGAGCAGCAGCAGCAGCAGCAGCATTGGTGCCAGTGTCGTTCTCATGTTTGCTGTCGACCATACCAAGTGAACTCATGCAGCCACGGGCCACCATGACATGTTGCTTGCATGGTGTGGGTGCCGCTCTGTGAAAAAAGAACTTTGGTTATAAAGAATAGACTCGGATGGAGAGCCAAGGATAAATTTATAGAAAAGAAAAAAAGACCAAGTAACTACAAGTTACGCTATAATGTCCACTAACACCACCAGTTACTAAACAATCAGCTCATGCGATAACATTGCACGACACTGACCGACGGTACTGATGTTCTACAACTAATGGGCTAACAGCTCTAGCACATCTTGGATGTGCAATCCAACAGCCGTGCAATGTTATCGCATGAGCTGATTGTTTAGTAATTGGTGGTGTTAGTGGACATTATAGCGTAACTTGTAGTGCCTTGGTCCTTTTTCTTTTCTATAGATTATAAAGAACTTTGGTTATAAAGAACTTTGGTTATAAAGAACTTTGGTTATAAAGATCTACCATGTAAAGTTCATTCACCGTCCGTAGAGGGCTCAGTTTATTTTGGAACATTGTTCAATTTGTATCACGATCAGTCACCACCTCCACCACACCAAGGTCGTTGACGCTGCAAATTCTATTGAAAAGAAATGAAATCTCCAAATTTTCGCCCTTGGGGCTTCATCAGGGAGTAAAATAATAATGAAATGAAACTGGCTCTGTAGCCTCCGTGTTCTAAAAAAATGTTCAATTTTCGTCTGATAATCGACTCAGTTCGTGAAACTCAGAGTTATGGAAAGCAACCGCTCGTTATTCTAAAAACTCGGATGTTGAGCCAATAGTAATATGTTCCTCATTGGAACTTTCCTCACATGAGCCTTCCCAGTTGGAAGGTTGTTGGACCTAGGTGTCAGGTAGTCAAATGTCTCAACATCCTTGTCAGTTTTTTTGCCTCGTTGTCGCACTATCTGACTGTATATTATCTCGTTACCTTGGTGGACTAAGTTCGTCTAAGTTCGTCTTGGTGGACTGTTAATCTTAACTAGTAACTTATTGGTCATTTGCTCGTTATTCTCTCTGTGTTATAAAGAGCTATTTTCCTGGCCACTGGTGTTTGGTTTATCAGGAGTTGACTGTATCCGCATGTAAACATTGAATCAAAATAAGTGCATTCAATTAACAGTACATCTAATCAAAGATAGAGATATGGGTGCGGGAGATAGGAACTGTGTGTGCGCAGCCTTCGGCGGCGTATCCCACCTTTACCTTGGTATTGTGAGGTAAATGGACCTTCTGTTGTCGAAGTATGAATACTAGTGTGGAAAGGAATAATCGAACAATCGAAACACTTAGAATATTCGTGCTGGGAACGAATCATCGAACAATATTTGGAAATGGCAGAAATCGGAAAGTATCGTGCAGTGTACACCAGGCTTCTTGCGAGGTCAAAACATGAGGGCGGGCAGGGGGGACATGGGGGGGGGGGCAGGGGAGGGGGGACAGGGGGGCAGGGGAAACAGGTACCCTGTAGCCCATTTTCCATTTTCCAAAATTGTAACACGAAAATCAACAAATGAGTAGGTGGGGTGGGGGGCGGACGGCAATCACTTTTGCACAGGGGGCGCTCAATCAGAGTGTGTGTGTGGGGGGGGGGGGGGATGCGCTGCGCCCCCTACCCTCTTTTGGCTAGAGCTCTGTGGACATGCAGCTACATGCATGAGTTGAGTTCATCATGAATGCAGATGTTATCCCCGTGCGCCTCCAGGGCACTTTGATGTAGGAAACACTGTAACTGATATCCCACAGGAATGCAATGTTATGTAGAAAATGGAGAAGTGGCTCCTCAGGGCTAAAACACATTTCGGCCGCATTATAATTTCAGCCTTTAGGCGGGACCAAAAAAATAGAGATTCCCGGGCCCTCCCGCACCAAATTCTGGCCAAAGCCAATTTCTTAAAAAAAATAACAGTTCATATACATGTCCATATACAGTACTGATCGTGTGAGTAGGTCTGTGACATGGAGTATTCTTTTATTTATAGTGGAGAAAACCAAAACAGGAAGCTGCCTGATAACGATGGACCCACTGTGTAGGGTGGAGGAGGGGGAGACATGGCTAATGGTAAATAGTGGCGGCGAAATAGAGCAGTTCCAGCACAGCTACGGAAACATGGGCGTAAAGCTAAAAGCAGGCAAGAATGTGTTGCAAAGCGCTTGACTTGAAGGCGGCCAGTTTGGTGGCGCCTCGGATATCCGCATGGAGGGAATTCCAGAGAACTGCGCCAGCATGTGGGGGGGGGGGGGGAGTCACACAAACCCGGGCTTATACGACTCCCTGATGTACAGATTAGGGCCATCGTTGGCCGAAATACAGAAAACTGAAGGAGTAAACCGCGTACCTGTTTTCTGTGAAAAGAATGAATACAAATTACCAGAAAATACTGTAAAAAAAATTCAGAATGGCATGCATACATACATAGGAAAAAAAAAATAAAAAATAAAAAATTCGCCCGGCCGCACCAATTTCACATGGATCCTGCCCGGGAATCTGGATTTTATTTTGGTCTCGCCTTACAGCTGCCAAACTCGGCCAGAGGGATGACTCAGGCGGCCCGTGCACCGGACGATATGGTCGTGGACGTCGTAACTACAGCGGAGCTATGCTAGCGGATTTCTGCGAGTCGTTTGGTCTCTTTGCATGTAACACTGCCTTTCAACATCCAGCTAGGCATCTGACAACCTGGACAGGTTGGAGGCACAACCCAAACGGCGGTTGCTCTATCCCTATATACAATCAAATAGATTTCATTTTGAGTAGCAGCAACCAGAAGCAGATTTTCACAGATGCCCGATCCTATGCTGGGACACTGGTGAAATCAGACGATCGGCTCGTTGTCGCACGCGCCCGTCTGAGCAGGATCTATGGTCTGTGGGCACATAACAACAACAAAAAAAGAACCGCGAAAGCTCAGAAGTTTCAGGTTCATAGATTGAGCGAGCACACCTGCCGGCAAAACTTCCAGTCCCAACTCACCCATCGGATCGCCAACGGCGCAGTAGACACATCCACACCGGAAGCACACTGGACATCGATCTCGTCTTTCATCCAGCAAACGGCAAAGAATACCATTGGACTGGCACAGCCCCCAAAGAAGCAACAGCGTTTCATGGATGATCAGCTACATTCCTGGTCGGAAGAGAAAAAACGGTTACGACTGCTGATAACTACAAGTAGGGATCCACAGCAAGTGGCTGATCTGAAGCATCGGCGGAACACCCTCTCACACCGAATCCGGCTGCGAGCAAAGGAACTAGCATCGAATGAGCTGGACGCTCGGGCGAGGGAAGTAGAAGCAAAGAAGGATACAGCACAGATGTTTCATGCAGTCCATCTACTCCAGCGACAAAAACAACAGCCTATCACTGTGCATGATGAAGCGGGTAGACAAGTAATACAGCCAGTCTCAGTAGCCATCCAAATCACCGACCACTTTTCTAAGCTGTACACACCGGAGCCTGGTGCACTGTTGCTGCGGCGACCGGGCCTTGCCGACCAGGATTGCGCTATTCAGTACCGCCGGCTTGAGCGGCCCATTTCTGAGGCAGAGGTGACACAGGCAGCTGGAAAGTTGAACAATGGCAGGTCAAGTGGCCCAGATAACATGCCAGGGGAGCTGCTAAAGTACTCACCTGCCCTCGTCTACTCCAATATCGCCCAGGTCCTCAACTCTGCCATCGAGACAGGCCTGCCCCTGAACAGCATCGGTAGTGGGTCGCTTATTCCGTTACAAAAGCCTGGCAAATCAATCGCTCACCTACGCCCCGTGGTTTTACTCACAGCGCTCAGGAAGATTCTATCATTGATTGTGCTGCGGAGGATAACAAGGACGTCAACAACTTCGTTGCACACACACAGAGTGGTTTCCGCCCCAGCAGGAAGCACCACAGATGTTGTGTGGTCATACCGATGGTTGGCGGCTCGATGCCAACGTTATCGTTGTGTGCTGGATATCCTAGGCATTGATATGTCAAAAGCGTTTGACTGTATAAGCAGGCCACGGCTCATCTCGGTGCTGGGATCGTTCTTGCAGCCGGATGAAATCCGAATGATCAGTTACCTCCTCCAGGACACCGTACTGCGGGTTGTACTCCATCCGCTAAGGGCCCGTCATTCCCCACTCTCCGCGGCACACCCCAAGGTGACTCGTTGTCTCCTGTTCTTTTCATTGTGTACCTTGAGGGTGCGCTGCGTGATGTCCGGCCTCTTCTTCTACCACGTCCCCCTGCCGATATCTCCCTGGGGTTACCAACTGAAACTGCCTACGCCGACGATGTGGATTTCGTGACTACTGATGGTGAGAGGCTGAGGACCCTCCTTCCAACCATATCCAACAAGCTCCTCGAATGGGATTTGAAAGTGAATGAGACCAAAACAGAGCACACGCACATCGAACGGCACACTGATCGCATCGAGGAGGAGTGGCGAACCACCAAGAAACTCGGGTCCCTATTAGGTGATGCCGAGGATATGCTACGGCGACAGCAACTGGCAACTGTTGCCTTTGGTAAACTCTGGACGCTGTGGATCCGTAGGTCGCTAGTTTCGGAGGATCTCCGCATCCGGCTCTATAATGCCCTTTGTACTCCCTGTACTCTGCTACAATTGTGCAACATGGGCACCAACGAAACAGCAGCTGAGCCGTATTGAGGCCTTCCACCGAAAACAGCTGCGGGCGCTAATCGGCATTGTGTTCCCGAATCGGATTAGGAACGAGAGGCTCTATGAGCGTACCGGCGCGGTTCCTCTCGGCATTATAATCTTGAGAGCTAGGTGGAGGCTCTTTGGGCACGTCCTCCGGCTCCCGGCTGACTCCCCACCATCCCTGGCCATGGGAGCGTACTTCGCAGAGCCTCGCCCAGCGGGCTGGAGGGGAAGACCAAGACACACACTACCAACGCTACTACAAGATGATGCCAAGCGGATTGGACTTTCCTTGTCAAGCAAAGTCGATCTGGAGGCGTTCCGTGCCCTTGCTGCTGACCGAAGCGGTGGGTGGGCATCTGTGCCCGAGTGGTGTCGGGCACCTAGTTTTTGTCTTCTTTTCGCATATTTCTTCTTTTTCTGAAACTGTATGGTCTTTTGTATCTATTCGAAGTGGCTTATGCGAACATTTTTGGCTGGTTTGCATGATTTGCATGCCCATTAATGCAGCTGCAGGCCATGCTGATGTCTACGCGAACAAGCACATAATAATAATAATAAATTACAGCTGCTGCCGATACACTGTCACACTGAACCTTGCAAAACAATATTTTGGCCAAAACTGCCCAGGGTGAGAATAGCCGAAACTTAAAATACAGTATATGCCGTATTTTTGTTGTCTTACAGTACTCCGTTACATTTCGTTCTCCGACCATGGTGATTGGTTACCATGGTGACTGGTTCTTCTCTTTGAAGTGCTATGTGTTGTGGGTCTTTTGTGTACTTCGCATCTCTTCGCCAGTGGTTTGTTAGGTTATTATTATTAGACACAATCTCATAGCATGTGACAAGCATAGCTAATGCAGGGACAGAATCCCTGAGACAAGGGCGTTGAGCCAGCCACGGCAATAGTAAGCTAGGAAAACAAAGCAAATATTAATTAAAGCAAAAAAATGAATGGAAAATTACAAAGAAAACGATTAACGGAAGTGAGCACAATCAAAATTCGTGCATCACCCAGGTATTCGAGAATGTTCTTCGATAATAATTATTACGTCTAGTTCAGTCAGGTTCAAGTTAGTTACAAGGAGGAAGGGGGGGGGGGGTATCGAAGTGACATACGTTCAGAAAGAGAGAAGGAAGAAGCACTTTGATGCAGGAAACACTGTAACTGATATCCCACAGGAATGCAATGTTATGTAGAAAATGGAGAAGTGGCTTGTGCATGGCCCTACAGGCACACCCAGTTTCTTGACTGGTCCGCTGCCAAGGGAAATTTACGGCTCGGTGTCATGAGCATTTCACTTTGGTTCAGTGTTGTTGCCTTCAATTTAGGGATTGTGTTCGGGAATGTAGTCTTATTCTCTTGTCTCCTGAAAGAGAAGGACAGTTCCTTTTGCTTGTGTGTATGCGTGTTTTGTGTGTTGTGTGTGTGTGTGTGTGTGTGTGTGTGTGTGTGTGTGTGTGTGTGTGTGTGTGTGTGTGAGTGTGAGTGTGTGAGTGTGTGGATGTGTGAGGAACGTTATGTGTGTATGTATTTTTGTGCGTGTTTGTGGGAGTGTGTGTATGTGAGTGTATGTGTGAGTGTATGCGTGTATATGTGTGCGTGATAGGTAGATATTTCGTTCTGGTTGGCATCAAGTTGCCTGTCCGCGTGAAAAGCTCGCTGTGTTAATCACGGTTCGAGTAATCCGCCTTTGTTGTTCTGAGGCGATTAACATACATTATGTTTTGTTGTCCACCAGATATCACTGCGATCAGTTCAAACCCCTGTCACTCTGAGCTCTCCTGATGAGACCTAACAAGGTGGAAACGCCTAGCTGTCTGGAGACTGAGTTCGACACACCTGTAGTGATAGCACATGCCAGCTGCTATTCGGCCTTATCTGGAGGTTACGGGAGAAAGGTACGTGTTGGGGTCACAATGATAATCTCTCCCGGGGAAAACTGCGGAAGAAAAGCTCAACATTTGCGGCACAATTTGAGGTCAATATAGGCAAAATTCGCGGCAAAATTGCGAAGAATTTGCGACAGTTTCTGGTAAATTTGCAAGTGGATTGGCAAGTATACTGGTCTGCCTGCTAGAAAACTGCTTTGTACCTAGTATCTTTAATCAAAGAAGAGTGTGTGCCATGTCTAAACAGTATGCTATGCCTATAGAGCGCCCTACACATACGCGGGAGTACCAGTATGTGATGTGAACGGCTCACAACCCAACACTGGTGTGTAGCAAAACGAAAAGTTCGAGAATCCCGGGGAAATTCACGGAAACGCAGTGTTGAAAAAATTGCCGAATTTGCAGAAAAAGCGCAGCCGCGGAATCGCGATTTTCTCCGGAAACAGAATAATGGTGATTTCCTCCAGTGTTCTGGCCTTTTGCTCGTGATGTCGAAACTTGGGCAAGTGCTTTCTTCTTTCTTTATTGGTATCAGTCAGGCCTGTCACTGGGTGAGTGAACAGAGTGTGTGTATGCGTGTGTTTGAAGATATGTTTGGCATTGCTCTTCAACCACTCCAGCCAGCAGACATCAGCTATGGAAGGCACATCGAACAAGGCTTTTTCTAGCCGGCTGACTCCCCCTTGTATGTGCCAGTGTATGTTTGTGTGTGTGTGTGCGTGCGTGCGTGTGCGTGCATGTGATGGTGTGATAATGACACAATCTACCTAATTCTTGACATTTGCAGTCAGAATTTCACATTCTTACTTCCTATTCAGGCAGAGTCGATAGGATGGAATCTGGCAACATTATTTATCAACTCCACACCTGGCTAGGCCGCTATCCAGTAATACAGGAATCTGAAGGGTGATTGAGCGGTGATAAATAAGCATAGACTGGCACAGGGTTATCAAGGACAGGAGGATGAAAGTAGTCACTGCCAGTGTGTTGATGTGTGGTGTTTGGGCTATTGTTCCCCCTGTCTTATCCACTGACAAACTTGAAAGCTGACCAAAGCAAAAGAATCCTCATCAAGTAGCAGGTGCTTGTGGTCTGGTCTGGAAGAGGGTGTGAGAAATCGTCTTTATCATTCTTTACATTCAGTGGCTTATGGAAGAGATTCGTGTCAGTTACTCAGTGAGGGGGCCTGCGGGAGGATCTGATCAATCCTTTACACAAGCACTTGTTGCTGATTGTTGGAAGCACAGCAGGATACCTTATCTATGGAAGTCCTTTGCTGTGTGAATGTGTACATGTATATATGTGTGTATGTGTGTGTGTGTGTGTGTGTGTGTGTGTGTGTGCGTGTGCACTGTTTGGGAATCCCTGTCTTGACCTAGCTATAGTCCATGGCTCTTTCTGATGTGTATAATGTACATGGGTGCAAGCTGTTGTGTGTGTGTGTTGGGGTTTGTTGATGTAGTCACAAGTTATCTTTCTGAGGGCATAAAACCTACGGATGCCTTCACACCACTCTGGTCTAGGTTTGCTAGTGCCTCTGTTTAAGTTCTATCTTTGTAATAGACTAATGGTACGCCGTGGTGGTGTACAGGGGATGGTACATGGGCTAGTGGGATGCGGGTGTACTGAGCAGAGTTCCTGCTAGTACTTGCTGTTCTCCATATGTGGTGGTGGTTGAGAAAGTTTCAGGTTCGCTGCCGTCCGTGTTGTGTGTGTGTGTGTGTGTGTGTGTGTGTGCAAACATCTGCAGATATATGCAAGGGGGTTACATGCACATGTATATCCACGAGTCTGGGAACTCAAGTCTTAGGGGGGGGGGGGGGCACATGTATGTATGTACATGTATGTGTGTGTATGTGTGTGTGTTTTTGTGTTAGGGGTGAAACGGTTCGGGTAAGGAATCGGTTTTGGAATTGCCAGCTGAAAAGAATCGGGTACCGGTTCAATCAAATTTCGAACCGTAACTCGAAAAATCTCGTTCTCTTACAAATACATGTACACGTCGAGTCTACTCAAGATTTAAATGTCTTACCTTACGATCACCGCCCTTCCAAATGGTACTCCTAGTCATTATCTTCTTCGCACTTGGACTCTCCGATGTCTCATTCTTGCTCGTAAAGATGTTTTCTAAAAAATAATTGTTACGAACGCGTTTTGTCGGTCTGGAGAAAAGAGTGCATGGAACCGATACCTGAACCGTTGAAAACTATGCTGGTATTAGGGTACCCGAACATGGAACCATTTCACTCCTAGTTTATGTGCGTATGTGTACATGTGCTGGACTTGCAGTACCGAATTTTGCGGAGTATTACTATAAGCCATAGTCCCCTTTTTTTGCCACGAAATACAGACATCTATCCTATTATCACCGTTAATTTGATCATAGGAGTATAAGCGGAACTCACCTTTTTGGGGTGAATTTTGAGTGTTCAAAGTGCGGCATAATACTCTGGAAATTACGGTAGATTCTCCATGTACCCTAAAGATAGGGTTACACATTTGCACACACACATCCACACACGAAAACAGACAGACACGCATGCACACACACGCACACACAGACACACGTACACACACACACACAAACACACACACACACACACACACACACACAGAAACACACACACACACACACACACACATATGCCAGGTACCTGTACTGCTAGTTGGGAGTGTGTATATTCAACATGACTGCATGGTCTATGTACATACATGCACACTGTATATAAGGTATGCTGTGTTATGGTCATTAGCCGGCAAGTGGTAGAAGTATGCCTAGAATAGCACCCATGAACTTGAGCAAACTGCACAGCATCTTGGCCTTCTCTCACTGCCTCGTATTGGCTAGTTGTAATTGAATTAGACGTAAGGGAGAAATGTCTCTATGCTGGTCATGTGATCCAGTAGCAGATGGAGATGAAGTTGTTTTGCCTTAGGGTCTATGTATCAGCAATTGCTGACAGCTGGTGTTATGGGCATGCATGTTTCTGTGGAGTGGCTGTACTGGTAACTAAACAAAGTGTGATGCTACAGAATACACTACAGGCAGTGCTGTATTCCTGACCGTAGTAGTGTTAGAGTGTGCTTGCTGGTTATCTAGCCAGAGGGAAACATCCCTGAACGTGTAAGACACATACGTTGCTGCGCATCGTTAATAAAATTAATAATAATGACTCTTTATAGACAGGGACGGAAAGTTCTCAGTTTGTCTTGTCTCCATGTGTTATGTCACCTTATCCTGTTGTCCTTACCAGTACATTGTTGTATTGGTCACATTCGCATCGGTTAGTGTCGCCTGCTTGCTCTGCGATTAGAACATAATAATAATAATAAAAAAGTTAGAACGACAAGTGCCAATGGCATGGTACTGCTGTTGCTTGCCTGTTGTTGGTAGAGTGCACAACTCACTGTGACTGACTGCAATGACACTCATGTCCTAGTAGGCTTGTGGCTGATCAATGGAAGAGGAAGAGTATTGGACTTAGAGCGGCCAGTACCGGAATTTCCGGAGTGTAAGCCGCACTCTAGACGCCAAGAAGTCATACCAAAAAAGTCGATACACGGTACGACGTTTACTACAATGATCACGTTAACCATGATGAATAGGTTAATTAGACTGGGGTGGAGAGCCGAGTATTTATTATTTATAAGAAGAATTGAGGACCAAGGAACTACAAGTTAAGCGGGACTCACAGAAGCTATTTTGCGATGCGACATGCGATACAACAGTCGAGAAACCGGGAAATCCCCAAATCGCAGCCATCTCACACCCCACGCAACTGGGCCATCGCAGAAGTTGAGCTTGGCTCAACTTTTGCGATGCGACAAGCGATTTGGCGTACGATTTTGACCTTTTCTACAGCAAAGTTGTGCAAAGGTTCAATAGTTGCCTATAAATGTGTACAAGTTGTACCAAACCACGCGGATACCGTGGTGACATACCCACCTGCATTGAACTTCGCGCCAAATCAGCAAGGCGTTGTCGCATCGCTGACTTCTTCTGTGAATGGTATTTCGCGAGTTCGCATCGCACGCGTCCGTCGCAGATCACGTCGCACCTCGTGTCGCATCGCAAAAAAGCTTCTGTGAATCCCGCTTAACGCTATAATGTCCACTAGTACCACCAGTTACTTTTCAATCAGCTCATGCGATAACATTGCACAACACTGACCAACGATACTGACGTTCTACATCTTGCTGTAGGTGATTGCCAGTTAGGTGTAGAACGTCAGTATCGTTGGTCAGTGTCGACCAAAATTAGCGCATGAGCTGATTGTACAGTAACTGATGGTGTTAGTGGATATCATAGCGTAATTTGTAGTTCCTTGGTCCTCAGTTCTTCTTTACGAATAGGGTACTTCTCTGTATTTCGTGGCGAAAAGTCTGGGTGCAGTTCATACTCCAGTGCGGCTTATACGCCGGAAAATCCGGTACACGTAATTGATGGGACGCAGCAGTATCCCCTCCCCCTCCCCCCTCCCCAGATTCTATTGGGTAATGTGTGTCGTTTCATCTCACCACCACCGGAGCACTATTGTCATACTGTACACTTACATTCAGCATATTCAATCTGCACTCCTTTGCTTTGCAGCGCTATTCCTCTGCTTTCACTTTTCAAACGTGGGCCTGTCTCCAATGTTCACGTTTTGAATTCTGACAACATTCTGCTGATGTCGCTACACTTTTGCAATCTGTGAACGCATCGTCTTATCACACTTGGACTGTCGTTTGAATGTTGTCCTTCTAACCGAACTCGACTATCGTCTTCTTATTGGGCTGTTGTCTTTCTCTGAAAATAGTCCTTGTCTTCTCTATCCACCGCTTCATCTCCTGTTCACGAATGTGACGGGTGCTTGGGTTGTTGTGACGTGTGTCAGTACATATGTCTGTGGGAACAGGTGGCTTGGCCTACTGCCGTGGTGGACTGGGCCTTCCGGTTTCGTCCACATGCACGTACGCGGCTGGTTTCGCTCAGATTCTGCATTGCCCGTGAACAT